CGTTTTCCTGAAAATTTAGGAGACACCAGTGAAGAACAAGGTGAAAGATTTCACCAGGATATTAAAACTATGGAGGACCGCTACCAAGGAAGATGGGATACGCATATGATGGCAGATTACTGCTGGAGTTTAAAAAGGGATTGCTCCAAAATACATTCACGAAAGTCACAGAAAAGAAGCTTCCTCAATGTGTAACTGTTTAGTTTTATTGATGACTTTTTCCTCTATATTTGTATAGAATAATATTTGCATAATATAATAATAAAAATTCCATGTTTAGTTTTTTTACTTGATCCATGGATTTAACTTAAGATATTGAAACATATATTTCGCTAAAATGCTATATCTTAAAAATTAGAGCTCCTAGGCAAAAACTAATGCCATATTTGAATTCAGGACATCAAATTCATATGAAATCAGCTCAAAATACCTGGGCACCAAAACCACTGTTGACCTGTGTAATTTATCATTTTCTGTATTATTTGCTAATGACTTCTATGACAACTTGTATAATTAATAATTTTAGTAAAAACTACTTCATTACTTAAATATCATATGTCTTCTCATAATTTGTTGTCATAACAATTTGCAAGACTTTAAAACATTACAGTATTTAAAATTTTATTTCGTCTTTAGCAAATGATAACAATTCTACTTTATCACATTAAAATTTTAGTTATTACAAAGCCATTTCCTGAATTTTTTTGTTCTATTTTTATGACTGCTATGACTTTACATCTAACTGTAGCATTTTCCATTTCTAAAAAACTTAAACTATCCTAATTAAGAAAACCATAAGCTAAGATTTACAAATTTATTTTAATCAAAGTAAAATTAAATAGCTTCATTCATTTTTAATTATAAGTTTAATTACACTGTATTTGGAAAAAACCTGTTATTCATAGCAATGCAAACGTTTTTACTGAAATTATCAAAATTCTTCATTCTTCTAAATGTTTTCGTTAAATTATATTGCACATTTGCATTAATTAAATATTTATTTAAAAATTAAAGATTTAAATATTCTTATAGGTCATTAGTTTAATAATAAAATTATTAAATATTTTAAACAAAATCAAAGAATAAATAAATTTAAAAACACATTCTTACTCTGAAAATTCTCCACATATCCATGCAGCAGCAAATAATACCTCACAGATACTATTTCTTTGTGTATTTGCAACTAATAAATGTGCATTATCTAATAGAATTGCCTAAAATAAAATTAAAAAATGAATTGTATTCAATTTATAAAATACTAAAATAATAGATACTTAAAATTTATAATAATTGATATGAAATTTATAAATGCTGCTATATTATACAATTTATAAACCAAACAATGCATTATTTAATTTTTTCAATACACACATTATATTAATTTTATTTTGTTGCATTTCCAATACTATGCACTTGTATTCTTATGTTCATAAGTAAGTAATAGTCAGCATCCAAATAATGTCAGGATCAATCTTAATATTGTATAAGACATTAAATGTAATGTCATATGTTGAGGCAATGAGGCCATAAAACTACAATATGTAATCATCATTGCTTTAGTAAACTGTTTAAAACATCACAAAAAAGCCATTGAAAAAACTTACTTTCCATTGACAGTTTTCAAAAAGCAATACAAATGAAATAAGACAATATAAGAACAAATATAAGAAATATTTATATTACTTTCTGGAAGTGCCAGTTATAATAAGTGTAAAGAAATAACTATATGTAAAACTAAGGACAGAGATAATTGAATGTTTTCTAATTTTCTCTGTCTTTGCATTACCACATATAAGGCTATTTTTCATGTTTAAAAAACATTTACTAAAATCATGTATTTTGTTATTGAATATAAAAAAAATGCTCACTTTAATTCCAGTAATTCTGTAAGTTGTTTTAATTTATAAAAAACTGCTCACTTCAATATATTTCTAACAAAAATAATCAAAAAATAAATAGTTTCTATGATGATTCAGCAATATATTCTAAAAACAATCACATGTATTTAATCCTACCAGGAATACATAACAATATTACTGGATATATTGATAGCAGTTTTTAGAATTAGACTTATATAACCATGATTTATAAAAAACTCAAAAGAAACACTGTTGTAAACAAAGAAACACTTGTATTCAGGTATTCAGAAGCACATTTAATTTTTGATTTATTTTTTTCAAAAATAGTAGTTTGAAATCATTTGTTTGAGGTAAATAAAACTGAAGTTATGTGCATGCATGCACACAGCTTAAGTTTTATTTACTGTATTTACTTGGGTATAAGATGATCTTGCGTATAGGATGAGGTGTGACTTTAGAGATCAAAATAAAGAATATTAGGTTTATTAATACAATTCTAATTTTATTTTGTTTAATCACAAAATATTATCAAATTCATGATGAATGGAAAACAAAACCAAAACATTGTAGTGCATGTGACCAGAAAAAGTTTATTTTTAATGATTCAGAATGTGCTAATATTCATTAAAAATAACAATTTAACTAATATAAAATAACTACATTTATAATCATTGCTAAGTGNCAAAATGAATTTATTACCAAAAGTTAGGTACAAACATGGTTACTTTACGACATAACCACTGTGAAGATTGAGGCATTTGTCATATCTGTGGATGAGCTTTTCCATCCCCTTGTCATAGAATGTTGCCACCAATGACTTGAGATGTGCCCTAACGTTGTTTTGATGATCATCATTAGTCTCAAACCTCTGCCCTCCTAGCAACTTTTCCTATTCAGGAAAAAGGTGGAAGTCGCTCGGCGCTAAATCAGGACTATATGCTGGGTGTTCAAAGATGGTGAAGACTTCCACCTTTCAGACTTCCATCCAGCTTAAAACTTTTTAATGTGTGAAGATTTCCACCTCTTTCCTGAACTGAAAACGTGGCTAGAAGGGCAGAGGTTTGAGACTAATGACGATCTTCAAAACAACGTTGTTAAGGCCATCTCAATTTACTGGCAGCAACATTCTATGACAAGTGGATGGTAAAGCTCGTCCACAGATATGACAAATTCCTCAATCTTCACGGTGATTATGTCGAAAAGTAACCATGTTTGTACCTAACTTTTGGTAATAAATTTATTTTGTTATTTATACTTGTCTTTGTTTTATGGACCATAGGAGCTTGAAAAAACTGCTCTCATATATCCAATTTTTTATAATAGCATAAAAATAAAAAGTAAAACTCCAACAATTATCATGGCTTGTAATATATAAACAAAAATCTTGTTAAAAAGAAAGAAAAAAATAGTGTTTTAAGAATTCATAAATTCCAAAGAAAAAGAGTATGCTGAACATTTTAAATTTCAAAATAAGAGGGTTTTTAAACATAAATAATAAAGTTGTTAAAATAATTACCTATGTAGTCAAAAGTTTATTTATTTTTAACAAAGTCATTAATATTTAAAATTACTTTCAAAAATTATATTTAAATAACTCATAATATTTTAAAAGTTTTACATCTAAAGTTGACTTTACAAATAAATAATATAGCAAAGTCTCATTGACAGTTTTAATCAACAAGAAATTAAATAATGTAATACAGTGGTACCTCAGGATACAAAATTAATCCGTTCTGAAACTGAGATTGTATCAAGAAAGTTGTAAGGTGAATCATTTTTCCCCATACAATTACATGTAAAACCAAATAATTCATTCCAACACGAAAAACACACTCAAATTAAAGCTAAGTAGTACATTAAAAAAAATAACTATAGTAAGGAAAAATGCTGAAAAATGCATTTTGTAGTTGTAAATGTATAAATAACCATAATAGAATAATAACTGATAAAAAAAAATGTAGTTTTATTTGCACTTTACCTTTGAGGATAAACGATGGTGAAGATGTAAACTGGTGGCCGAGGAGAGGGAGAAGGGAAATGATACTAAAACTTAACTTACATAACATAATGTAACAATAACTTAAAAATAACTTAGAAAAGAT